AACTCAGGAGAAGTTTTTTAGGTTAAAAATGGTGGGAAGAAGACGATTTAGATTCAAAGGATTACCAATCACTAATAAATATTTTAGAAATCTACAAGAAAGTGATAAAGCTCATTTCCTAGAGACTTTGGAATTGAACTTGGGAACCCCTGTAACTAAACATAGGCACAACCAATGACGTTGATGCATTTGACATGGAATTTGGTATAATCCGGTGAGGGAATTTTGTTCCAATTAGAAAGTCTCAAGATTGCATAGATTGTAACTCATAGTTAAAAGGAAGGGTCTTGGAGAGGCGGTTAAATGGAAGGCATAGATACTTCAGTGCTGAGATGTTAAAGATTTTCCTGATATGGAGGTCTATTCTAGCAAATCTTTAAAAATTAAAAAATGGTACGTTGGGCCAATGTAGCAAATTGAGTGATTTATAAACTGTGGTGCAGAATGCTAGAGTTAGTTAATTTGCTGATTCCTTATTACTTTATAAAGAAAGTCACTGATTAAGACCTAAATGGAATCCAATTTGCCGGTGATTAATGCTTTATCCTTCTACTATTAAAAAATTTAAAAATAATTTCTTTCCTGTCAAGTTGTTATCACCAACTTCTAAATCTAGGCAGATAATTAAAGTCAAATTCCCAACTACCTTTTGTAATGCGCATGCCAAATTGTAGTATTAAACTGTTAAATAGTTCAAATTCAAGTACAATTTTAAAATGATGAGTAAAGGTTTATTTTCTATAGGCGTTTTTTGACGTTTGTAGAAGCATGATATATTGAAAGATTTTTCAATTAGATTATTGCTGTTGGTCATTTCATCAGCTATGTGATAAATCTCTGCTTTTCTCCACCCGGCATTAGAATTTTGTACAAAAATAATCCATTTGTTTTAGCATGCAAACTTTTATCTTAATAGGTCTATAAATTCTTATGGGATAATTTCAGAAACTTCCCTTGAGGTTTTTAATAATTTCAGGAAGCTCCCTTCAATATTTTAAAATTACACATACCTCAGAAACCCAATAGAATACAAAAAAATCAACTAATTTTCTCTTTTAGATTTTTAGGCTTCTACCTTCTATCTTTGCTCACTTTCCCCATACCCATCTTCCTACAGCCACTTTCCTAGTCCCCTCTTCCCAAATTTTCTCCTCTACTTCAAGACCATTGTTTGTCCATCAACCCTAGCTTGTGCTTTGTTCCATTCCTTTCCCTTCTCCTTTTTTTATTTCCCATACATCTCCCCTTCTCTTTGCAAACGTGACTAGGCTCATCTCTCTTTTTTCCCCCTATTCTAAGTGTAGTGGGTTTGATTATTTTGCATCTATTTTATTCGATTTTGGTTGATTATGGGTGATAAAACTTGGTGATGTCAAATATCAAAAGTTTGAGAGATGGATATTGGGTTTTAGACAACGATTTGCTGAAAAAAATGGCTGTAATGAGAGGAAGAGGCAAGGGGATTTGAGAGTGGGGTTGATTGTTGACGAATTATTGTTTTGGGCAAAATTTGAGGTTGAGTCTTATCAAATTTGGTAGCAAGTGGCGAGATTTTTTCAGGTTGCGGGAAATAAATTGGATTGTGGTTTTTTGGGTACACACAGTTGTTGGAATTGGTTTTGATTCAAATTGGGGTGGTGGCTTGACATTCCTATTAGTGTTGCTTAAAAGAACACAATCATCAAAATTCCTTATTTTTGTCTTTTATTTTTTTTGGTAGAAAAGATTTCATGACTTTCGTGATAGTCTAATTTGGAAGAAGGCAATCAATGGATGCAATCAACATTCAGCAAAGCTCTTGTTCTTTTCTTTTTAATTTTTTGGGTAAAAAGGGTAGTTTAGGGTATTTGAAAGAAATGATAGCCTATTGGACCTATTTTGAAGCATAAATAGTGAAAGTAAGGGAGGTTGGTGTAATTTCTGAAATCTAAGGGGAGTTGTCTGAAATTGTTTGAGACCTCAGGGGAGGTTTCCGTAATTATCCCAATTCTTATTGTTCTATTTGCTCAACTTCATTACAGTGATTGTTGAGGGAATTTATGGGGACAACAACTCTTTGTTATTAACATTACTGGGGCTTTCACCTAGACGAGAATACAATCCATGGATTCCACAAGTAGATGAGTATAAATAATTAAATATCTTATTGTCAACTGCCACATAATACGTTATATATAGCTTTTTTAAATATATTTTTTCGGACATGTAATTGAGTGTCATGTTTATTTGGTAGGAACTTTGTTTCTCCACGTTAGCATGGGCTTTGTACTGATATTCCTAATGGATTTTTGGCTCATTGTTAATTTTTGTACTTTATAGCTATTTGAAAAAAAAGGTTAAAAACAAAAAAGTCCTCTTTGGTAGATCTAATATACAGAAAAGCCCTCCATGGTTTCAAAACATATAAAACGACGCCTCATATTTTAAACTAAATTATAAAACTCACGGAATCCAGTAAATTTAACGGAATCCGATAAACTTAACAGAATCCGGTAAACTTAACGGTAAATTTAACGGAATCCTGTAAGTTTAACAGCCAAGACCATCATTTTCGTTAAGTTTACCTAATTCTGTTAGTTTACAATTTAGTTCAAAATATGAGGTGTTATTTTGTACATTTTGAAATCACGGGAAACTTTTCTGTATATTAGGTATATCATAAGGAACTTTTTTTTGTTTTTAACCCTGAAAAAAATTATTAAATACTACTAATTTCCAAAGTGAGGAAAAGGTAGAGTAGCGAGCAAAGGAGGGGAGGACAGATCAAGAAAGAGGGAGAAACAATGAGGAAGGGAGCATGATAGGGCCAGAAAGAAGGGGGTGGCGGGAATGGTAGATGTGGTGGTGAAGAAAGCAAAATCCATGGGTCCAGATTTTATTTTCCTATCAACATTTTACTAGAATTGGGACTTGAACTTGGTAATAACAGAGGTATCGTAGACTTTTATGCAATTGGGTTCTTTATGCTATTTGAGAAATTTTAACATGTTCGTATGTGGTGTTAGTGGTACTAATTAGTGGTGGAGATGGTAATGTTAGTAGTGGTGATTACTGCTTAGTGCTAAGAGAAAGCAACTGGAGCTACTAATTAGTGATGAAGATGGCGGCAATGAATGGCGGAGATGGTGACTTCGTGTGTAGGAAATGTTATTGCTAAAAAAGGGAAGAACAATCATAAGAATGAATTAAAAAAAGAAGTGAAACAAAAAAAAAAAGAGAAAAACAAATACAAAGGAACGAAAAATATAATATGGATTAATCGAGTGCCACAGGAATTTTCTGGATTTTACCCAAAATTAAATTATGAATCACTTCACAAGAATTCTTTTTAAACTACAAACTTTGAAAGTAACAAGCTATTAAAAATTTGAAAGTTTGTAGCATGATATTTCCATTTGGAGTCTGGAGTTCAATATCAACATTGACAATTTTTTTTTCCTTTCTCAATTTTCCTTTTAAGTTTCCTCTCTCAAATTACATATTAAAGGAGATAGTACACATTATTATTTATAAGTTTATTTGGGATAAGAACAGCCCATGTACTCTAATCAACTAAAGATTAATGAGAATATGAAATATATCATATACTAAAAGTTCTAAAGTAATAACAAAGACAAGAGACATGTACATCTTCTTAAAATGTGGATTCAAAGACTAAATTGCCATTACAAATTACCAAATTATAACTAAAGTTAGATGTGGTACATAGGGGAGAAAAAGTTTATGAAGAGGAGCGACACCTTAAATTTCTAAATGCATGATTTTTTTCAGACTGATTACTAAGAATTGAAGCCTTCTCAATTTCTAGCATGCATTCCCATGTATAAATTTAATCATGAATAAAAAGTAGATTACATAAAAGATAACACAAATAAGTTTTTAAAATATATGTTTTTTTTTTTATTTGGGTTAATACCACTTTGTCCTCTCAAACTTTGGACGATTACCCACTTCAGTCCCTAAACTTCAAAATGGGACATTTAAGTTCCTAAACTTATAAATACCTCTCACTTAAGGAAAATTGTTAACAAATCCTGAATGCCGTTGGTGATCGAAGTGTCCCATTTTATAAGGGTTTAGGGATTTAAGTGTCCCATTTTATAAGTTTAGGGACTTAAGTGGGAGGTATTTATAAGTTTAAGGACTTAAGTGTCCCATTTTGAAGATTAGGAACTGAAGTAGGTAATCGTCCAAAGTTTGGGGGGACAAAGTGGAATTAACCCTTTTTATTTTAAAGCATATTTCATTTAAAAAGTTATTTCATGAAGGCTCATACATTAGAAAGTGATTTTACATAATGTACTCCAAAGTGATTAAGGTAATACTATGAAATTTGGATGAGAACATTAATGGTCTTTAGAAAAAGTCAAAAACCAAAAGAAAGATCAAAGGTTGAAGCCAAAGTTCCATTTCTTTGAACTAATTTTAATTTATTACATTTGATTGATTTAAATTAAATACAATTCATGGTATGATCTGTCCTTTCAACATACATAAATACTCTGAAAATAACTAATTCCAAATGTTATTATAATGCATATGTTTCAAGAATAACTAATTCAAATTTTATTTCTTCATCCTAAAAATTAAACTACCAATGATTAACCCACATAATACCGGTTAAAAGAAAAAAAAAAGTCAATTGACAAAGTTATCAGTCTAGTCGGCTGCTGGTCTCATTTATTTGATGACAAAGTGACACGTGTTAGTGAGTCCATATGCTATCTCATGATTTGGCATTGAATTCATTTGACTTTTTCTTTTTTCCAATTCGAAGGATATCTAACGGCTGTTTATTGACCGTGCTTTTATGGTAACAATAAAATAGTCTGGCTGGAGTAATTATGGTCTCATCAAAGGCTTCTTGATTTCTTTAATTCTTTTTAACATGACAGAATAAAAATCCTTGCTCTATTTAATCAGCCCCAAATGACTCATTTCTGCACGTAGACCAAAGTGAATCAATCAATCAGGATGGAATCCATTGCAGTTAGTGCAGAATGGAATCAGTCAATCAATCAATCAATCCGTTTCCCAACATCCATTACCGGGATTTTGAGATTGTCAAAGTTAGTGCAGTTAATGAAGGTATTCCTCCTAATCGAATGCTATGTCAGCTCCCAGCAGGACCAATGCTGGTTAATACATCTAGGTGGATTGAAGGGACATATATGGATCATGCTGCTCATAATCTTAACCGAAAGATTTTACCTGTCGGTCCATTGCTTCAATATCCCGCTGCTGCTCCAGAAGGCGAGGAGCAGCATCAGAATATTGATCTCATACAATGGCTGGCAGAGAAAGAAGAACATTCAGCCTTTTTTGCTTCCTTTGGGAGTGAATATTTTTTGACCAAGGAAGAGATCATAGAAATTGCTTTCGGGCTGGAGCTTAGCGACAATGTTAATTTCATATGGGCCCTAAGGTTACCAAAAGGGGAGGAAAACAGGGTTCAACTTGAGCAGATTTTACCTGAGGGTTTTCTTGAGAGAGTGAGAGATAGGCGTAGGGCTGTTCAAGGAGGGGCACCACAAGCATTGATTTCAGGCCATTCCAGTATTGGTGGATTTATATCTCATTGTGGTTGGGGTTCAGTATTAGAAGCAATAGAATTTGGTGTTCCAATTCTAGCCATGCCAATGAACTATGAACAGCCTCTCAATGCCAGGCTGATGGTGGAAAATGGTTTAGCAGTGGAGATCATGAGAGATGAAAAGGGAGACTTGTGAGGGAAGACATAGCACAAAGTGATCAAGAATGTGGTAATTGGAAATGGAGGAGATCCTATGAGGAGGAAAATGAAAGATTTGAGGTAGAATATGAAATCTAGTCAAGAAGAAGACTTGGATGAAGTAGTCAAAATGCTAGCCCAGCTTTCCAGGAAAAGTGCTGATTCTGATGCTATAGCTACTGCAAGAGCAAAACTTGTCTAGCAAAGTTAAGTTTGTTTCCTTAGGATGAGACGTGTAATTGTACACCATCTTCAAGGATATGACCATGTAATTGCTTGTAATGATTTGATGTTCTGGTAATTTTTGGGATTGAGGGATGTGGACATTTGTGGTCTATGTAACCTATTTCTTAAAATCTAAAAGGGAAGGCACTTACAAATAAGAAAACATTCTTAACCCTAACGCCACGTTGATTTGCACAAAACTATTCATAAGCAAACTAAATAGGACATTTGAGCTTGAGCCTCACAAAATGCTCACGGTTAGAAAATCTATATCTTAACATGAGCTTGCTGTGTTGTTGAAGCTAAGGAAGAAGGAAAAGCGAATGAATTAGAAAAGAAAATTTATTAACTTCTCTCTTCTAACTCAATTAAATCCGATGTGTATTCAACCAAGAGGGATCAATATTTGCATCGTTTGAAGAAGAGGAAGAAAACTTTCTTTCTCATACCATGCAAGTGACAATTAATAGTATTCTGTTATATGGCTAATACCAGATTAAACGTATACTTGAACATGACAACCTTAACAATAGACTGGATCTTAAGATTGAGAATAAAACTTTGATCCTCTAAATTTGACATGATCCTAAAATTTTACGAAATTTTGCATATGGATTATCCTCAAGAATTTGTGCTAACAAAATACTAGTACTGAAACAGTATCTAGATGAATTGTCCCTTTGCGTTTTAGACAGTACTATGTCAATGCTAGAAGGTTTTTACCTGGGAATTTGCTATGCATGCAAGTCACTTTCCTGAAAAAGAATAAGAACCATATGAATATTCAATCCCACAAAATTCTCTGCCTATTAACTTCAACATGCTATGGCTGCAGAGATCCAGATTTTTCTCTTTGATGCTTTTTTCTGTTCTGTTTTATTCGTTCTCTTTTGTGGACTTGTCAGTCTTAGGTAGTGATAAGTACTCTGAGGACTTCTGGGAACAGCAGCTCAAGGTTATAACTTCCAAATCTTTATACCTCCCTATTGAGATCATATTTTTTATTCAAAAGTGGAAATGTGAAATCCATGAGCATACATAAGTAGTATGATTTGATATGGTTGCTGGAACATCGGCTTGACCTTGTCATTGCCCTGCTGCTGACGAGACTGAGGTGATGAACTCTGTCAAGTCATTTAAGGACTCATACGAAGAACCACCTTTCTGCAAACCCGCTTCTAGTTTATCTTTCATAATTAACATTCTTTGCCTCATTTCTTTGCCTTCTACCTCAACCATTAGTCGTCTTATAGATTTCTCAATGCTCCCTCTATCCACCACGTTCTCAATTTCCAGGCCTACCTTCCATTCATAAGTCAAGTATCTTGCATTTACAATTTGGTCAGCAAAATGTGGTCTGCAAATCATTGGAACGCCTTCGCAGATGCTTTCTATTGTTGAATTCCAGCCGCAGTGGCTCCAAAATCCCCCCACGGCCCTATGTGCCAAAACTTTTTTCTGAGGTGCCCATTTGAATATTAGGCCTCTTTCTCCTAGTAAAGATTTGAAACTGCCCTCAGGAAAGTGATCATCCAACTGAGATCCATCTATAGAATCTGACCTAAGAACCCATATAAATGGAATGCCACTGTTTGCCAGTCCCCAAGCTGTTTCTGTTAGCTCTTGTTCATTTATGCACGCGATGCTGCCCAAGCTTATATAGATCACTGAATTTGGAGGTTGCCTTTCGAGCCAAGAAATGCAACTCTGATCCTCTTCCAGGAAACTAGTAGCTGTGGCTGCAGCCTCCAACTTGTGGAGAGGCCCAATTGGGAAGCATGGAACTTTGTAACATTGCTGAAGCCGTGATAAGGTTGAATGCTCAAGACAATCTGTTGTATTCCAAATGGTGGCCACAGAAGAGCGTATGTTGATTGAAGAAGCGTTGAAATCCATAAGCCATTCTGGGATTGCATTAGTAATTGGATAGGGTAAATCCTTAAACCTCAAAGGATGGAGCTCTGGCACAGGTTCCTGCAGCCTGGACTCTGTGAATCGCAATATTTCAATTTTTTGCCGCCCTAAGTTCAGATAGTGACTAACTTACTGCTTAAAGGGCTCAAATCTTTCGTGTAAAGATTTCTTTTTTTCTTTTAATTGAGATATTAAACCAAGAGTTAGCTATTTACCTGGAAAAGGAATACGATTTTCTGCTTGAAGTTTGCAGATGCAGTGACAAGATAGCATGTAAGCAGCCATATTAGGCCTTAAAATAATGCTTGGAATCTTTAGATGAGTAGAGACCGAATCAACAAAGAACAAGAGTGCATCATATATCATACAAGAAACCTGGTAGCCCTGCAGCTTCTGATCTTCCATGAGTTGAACCATGTAGTCCTGCAGAGGTGCTCTGCAGTTGCTGTTGATAGCGGATATGAGATCCAGTAAATTGTTGATAGAGGCCTGATAGCCAGATAGATTGTCCGACAAGGCGTGAAAGATGAATCCAGGATGGTTTAGAGGATCGGGTGGTCTGAATTCGGAGTGTGCAACTACAATTGAGAACCCTTTAGAGTAAAGAATACTCCCCAGCTGAAGCATTGGAGTCATGTGCCCCTGAAGGGGCGGCGGAACTAACACTACTGTATGTTTTCGAGTTCTGCATTGTTCCATATCTCTCTCCATTGATCCCATAAAACTGGAGGATGGTAGTTACCAGCTAGTCCTTATATCTGTTTCATGAAGCTCAGGATCTTGATTTTCCGTGGAGGTGTGGAAATCAATCGTTATGATGACCACACCTTGGGGAGTCAACATTCACTTTGGCTCATGAGTCATGACCGAAAGCAACATGCTCTGATTTACTCTACTCAACAAGACTTGCTTGTGGCTTAAAAGGACGGAGATTTCATGCTTTCATTTGCCAACGACTAGCATTCGTCTATGTTGCTTTTCAATTATTGCAGTGTTGTTGAATTTGCGCTATATTTTGGCTGACGCTTTAACCAATCATTTTGAATCTGGGCTATTTCTTTTCTTGTTTTCTTCAATTGTCATCCGACAATGACCAATATTCGTCTTTGCTGTCTTCCTATGACAAACGTGCTTTTGAATTTGGGCTGTTTTTGACCAAATCAGTCATCAAGTAAGCACCACTGGGCCTTTGGCCCTGTGGTCACCACCAGCTTGGTGGTGTGGGAGGTCGAGGTTTAACCCTTACCTTCTACCAAAATTTGTCACAATATGTGGCGGTCTTAATTGGTCTTCTTGGATGGAGTTTGTACTCATATTGAGTCCCCTTTCCCCTTCCTCTGAATTAGGCTAGATTAAATTATAGGAATTATAATTTTGCGACCAAAAAAAAAAAGTTATCATGTAAGCTATTTTTTACAGCTACAGCTGTATTAAGGGACCATTTTGGCAAACTGTTGAGAAGTACAAATCTCAGCTGTCTTTCTCATATTTTCTCTAGAAACTAAAATTACTGCACGGATTAGGCTCCCTTCTCCTCCAATAATTAATATGTTGAGCAATCTCAGTGCTCTTCCTCATCTTTTCTCTAGAAACTAATGAGTTTCTAGAAGAGTTTGGATAGAAAATTATTTGGGCTAATTTTTTGAAAAAAAAAAAAAATATCGTAGCACTGTGTTTGGATAGTAGATTATTTGTGATAATTTTTTGAAAAAAAATACTGCAATATTTTTTTGATGTAATGTATGTAAGATAAATAGACAGACAATAGTCTCTTATACATATTGCATTTGGCAAACTTGTGAAGCAAATGCCATATTATGTTCAAATAAAGATTGATATACTCTAATAAAGATTGATATCACTAGACTAGTGTTCAACTAATATAAGCTAGACAGCCTGTTGATTCCACGATTGATACCCATTTCTTCTTTAAATTGTTAATTCGGTGTCAAGTTCAGGATTTGACTTCTAACTTGACAAGATATGAGGAGGGAAGGGAAAGTAAAAAAAAAAAAAAAAAAGAATAGTATTTGTATTTTGAAATTTTTTTCTTTCTTTTGTACAAGTCCAAAGAATTAATAATGATTACAGAGAATTGGAGTGAGATAGAATAGAACGAGGGAAAAGCCCATTGGCCACCCAAGAAAAGTACTTGCAAATCATCAGAAAAAGCACTTGAACACTCCTTTATCATTTTATTTGCAAAAATAGTGATTGTTTCAATTCGGCCAATTATTCTTTTGGGTGTTTAATTCAAGTTCCACACCAAAGATTACTTAGAACACATTCGAGGATCATTTTCACTTAATTAATCCAAATGGAGCCAAGGTCGTACTACTTCAAGCCAAATATCATTTTTAGTACATTTTCCACAATCTTTTTTCTTCTATATATAGTAATTGCTAAATACTCTGAAAATTCTTAAAACACAAAAGGTATTCAGTTACACAAAATAACATATACCATTCAAGGGAAATGTTTCGTCCGTTTAGATTATGTGTTTTTCAAAATGTATTTTGGGGTATCTTTGGAGTTTAAAATTTTATTGAGATTGTTTGAAAAATTTGAAAAACTTCACCACTTACAATTATCCACCATTATCCCTCCCCTCCTCCCCCGCAACCACCAGCCTCCCTCTCCTCTTCCCCCTTTCGTTCAACGCTTCAAATATTATGTAGCACGGGAATTGGCGACAAGAAAAAAAATATCATAATAACAGTTGGTGACAAAAAAAAGTCAATAAATAAAAGAAGAAGATGTAAAGAATCACCGGAATTCACCTAATAGTGAGAAACAACTCTAAAAGCCTTTCCTGCCATCAATTGACAACTAAAATAATCAATAAAAAGAAGAGGAAAAAAAACCATATAATGCTCTGTCACCCATTAAAGTAGAATTGTTTCTTTATTTTCTTGTATAGGCAAAAAAAACTCGCAAGTAAACTGTATTCTATTAACTGCTGAGTTCATGCTTATAGTCATCATTTTGTTATTAAAAATTGTTATTAATTTACTCAATAGTATGTTATTCTCTTGAATTTCTACTAATTATCAAGATAGAAATATTTAACAATCCAATACCTTAAAAATATATATATATATATATATATATATATATATATTAACTTTCGTCAATGAGGACACATAAATAAATTAGTAGAGTATAAAATTAAGCTTCGGAACAATTTCATAAACCTCCCTGACACTTGTGACAATTTCATTGAGTTGGGACACGTGCCCCCTTGGACCATATATGGATCCGCTGCTGGAGAGGAAACCTTTATGGTAGGAACCTGCCTATGGTAGGAATGCCGGCAGAGAGCGACACGTATTGGGGGCAAAACGGTCCAAATGGAGACGTTAAATTGTTGGAGAGCGCGTGCATAGGGAATCAAGTAGAAGCGTGTACGGATGGAAGCAAACAGCAGACTGACTTCCGTGCTATGTTATTGCAAGTCTTTCCTTTGTACCAAATATTTGGTGACCCCACTTCTTCCCCATAGCGTCTGAAGTAAGCTTCAACTTTGGCTTTCCATTATTGAAGTTCGGCTTCCACTATGGACCCGAATACCGGATGACACAATGTAACTACATTCATTTTATATTCATTTTTACATTACATATGCATGTCATTCTTTCTTTTTAGTGGTTGCACCTTATATTCGTGAACTATCTGTAGAAAAAAAATAAAATTTTAGACTATACTAAATTTGTTATACCAAATATGTTATTCTTATTATTGTATTATTTGTTACGCCACTTTTCTCATTTTGTTAGGTCTACATTAATGCAAGTTTAATTCTTATTATGTCTCGTGTATCAGAAAATACATATTATCTTATTGACGTTGATACGTCCAATAGGTAATCAAATTGATGCTAAAATTTTAGAATGAATAAGTTGCTTTTGCATAACGGTTGTAAAGGTTTCTTGAGACTTTATGAATTATTCTTCTTGCGTTTGCAAAAACAATTGCAGAAGATTTTTTGTAGTGGAAACGGAGTTAAAACTTGCTATAGGTTACTTTCCTGTATTTCAATTTTATCCTAAAGGGTAATTTGCTGTTCAACCTAATTTTATTCCAATTTTATCCAACTAGTAAATTAACTTATGAAAAATAGTGAAGTGGATAATTTATGGAGGCAAGCCGTAAATAGTGGGTGGTTAACTGTAAAACGCCTTTATGTTTATTTTATTTCGATAAATAAATTTGCTTTTGAGAAAATGGGTACTCTTTCCTTATAATGCAAGAAAGCCATAAACAACGACTGTTTTATTAGAAAACGGGCTTATTTTCTTTTTTTTTCGAAAAGAAAATTTGTTTTTGGAAAAATGAGTGTTAAAATAAATTTTCTTTTAATCTGATCAATAAATTTTATCTAGACATCCATACAAAAATTTATTTATCGGATAAAATAAAAATAAACCTGTTTTTGAATACAACACTAGCTCTTTATGGCTTTCCGCCATTATAAGAATAGAGTACACATTTTTCCATAAAAAAATTTATGGATAAAATAAAATTCTGCATAAACCCATTTTCCAATAAAACACTAGCTCTTTATGACTTTCCTCCATTATAAGAACACAGTGCCCGTTTTTCTCATAAAAAATTTTATTTATCGGATCAAATAAAAATAAACCCGTTTTTCAATAAAACACTAGCTCTTTATGACTTTTTTCCATTATAAGAACAACGTACCCATTTTCTATAAATAAAAAATTTTATTTATCGGCTAAACTAAAAATAAACACATTTTTCTATAAAATACTAGCTCTTCCTGACTTTCCTCTATTATAAGAATAGAGTACCCATTTTTGCATACAAAAATTTTATTTATCGGATAAAATAAAAATAGATTCTTTTTGAATAGAACACTAGCTCTTTATGGCTTTCCTCCATTATAAGAACAGAGTACCCATTTTTCATAAACTAATTTATTTATTGGATAAAATAAAAATAAATCTATTTTTTAAAATAAGCACCAGCTACTTATAGCTTTCCTCCATAAATTATCTATTTTCTTAAGTTAATTTATTAGTTGGATATAATCAGAAAAAAAAATTAGGTTCAACAGCAAATTACCCTTTACGATAAGATTGAAATACAGGAAAGTAACCTATAGCAAGTTTTAACTCCATTTCCAATACAAAAAATCTTCTGAAATTCTTTTTGCAAACGCAATACACCTAATTCATAAAGTCTCAAGAAACCTTTACAACCATTATACAAAAGCAACTTATTCATTCTAAATTTTTACTATCAATTTGATTATCTGTTGCACGTATCCACCTGAATAGGATATTATGTATTTTCTGGGACACGAGACATAATAACAATTACACTTGTATTAATGTAGACCCAACAAAATGAGAGAAATAGCGTAACAATTAATATGTATTTGCTATGTTAAATATATATATATATATTGATTGTAGTACTTGAGAATATTATAGATATTATCAGTTTTTCATTTCCATTTTTAGATACTAATAATTGCAACCATTGTAATCAATTTTCAATTTTATATTTTCATTATGATAGGTAAAGTTAAATATATTGGGTGCATAGATATGAATTTAGAAGTTGGGTATGGGGGGAGAAGGGAGGGAAGAAAATGGTGAGGAGTTGAAAAGCGGCGAGAAAAGTTGAAGAAGAAATGTGGGTTACAATGATGGGCAGAGTAGGGAGAGAAGAAGAAAGGAGATTGCAGGGATATGACAGAGATGACAAAAAAAAAAAAAATAGAGAGAGTGGTACCATGATAGAAGATACGAAAGTCGTAGAAGGCATCTTATGACTAGCTGACGGATAAGAAAAGAGAGATATGATGGTGATTTTTAATAATTTTGAGAACTCTAAAATATATATTACAGAGATTT